ACCTCTTGAAGAAGGAGAACTTCGTGAGCGAATCGAAGAATTAGCATCCCGTATTGAATTTCCACTTAAAAAATTATATAAGATTGATGGCAGCAAGAGATCCAGTCATTCTAATGCCTATTTTTACGGTTTTTTTAAAAATAAACGAATTGTACTTTATGATACTTTAATCGAGCAGGCTGATACTGGTGAAATATTGGCTATTGTTGGTAAGAATGGATTTCTCTTGAAAGTAATTATTTATTTTACTAGCATAATTTAACGCTTGCAATTTTAGGCCATGAATTGGGACATTGGTACCTTAATCATACTGTTAGGGTGCTTGTACTCTCACAAATCCACAACCTTTTTCTCTTTTACGTATTTTCTCAATTTATACACAATTCTGAGCTATATATCTCATTCGGGTTTGATTCTCGTCCAATTTTGATTGGATTTATATTATTCCAATTCATCTATTCACCTATCGAAAATTTATTTACATTCTTGATGAACATCAAGAGCCGACAACATGAATTCGAAGCCGGTAAGTTTGTTAGTTTAGCTTTTTTGATTCACATTTTGATTTACATTCATCTTACACTTTTTTTTTTTCGTTAGATGCTTACTCAAAGAAATTAGGCTACGGAGCGCAACTTCGCTCCGGTCTCATAAAAATTCAACTTAAAAATTTGAGCAATTTAAATAATGATAAATGGTATTCTGCGTACCATTTTTCACATCCACCTCTTCCAGAGAGATTAAGTGCTTTAGAAAAAATTGATTAATCTAGATTGCAAAAAAAGTTTAAATAGTTTTAGGATTTAGTAGAATTACATTTAAAAAACTTTATTGTATACAATATATATATATAGTGTAATCCTTTTTTGATTTTAAAGAAATTATCTTAAAAAATGCTGTATTTTATTTCTTTCTTTTTATAGAACACCTTTTGTACTTGGGACTTCATTTGATCCTGTTCGCTCAATTGCTTGCTTCATGGCCACTGCAAGAGCTTTAAAAGCCGATTCAGCTCTTTGAAAATTAATTAATTGATTAGTCAATGAAGTCATTTAATCATATTACGATATAAACAATAATCTGCATTTGTCTTGTTTCCATACCTATGATGATCATTCTTTCCTTTAACTACGTCTACATGCAATGTAATTCCAGCGGAGGTGGCAAAAGAAGAGAGTACATGTGGTAACATTTCGGTGGAAAGTTCTCCAATCTTCTCTCGTTTTAGATCCAAGTTAATATCGGCATACGGTCTTCCTGAAATATCGATAACAGCGCGTGATAATGCCTTTATAACAATATTAAAGCATAATGAGAGAAAGAAATAATTAAAATCAATTCTCATTTTGTGGGTTTATTTGATTTATTATATTTATTATATGATAAAGTTTATCACCTCATCCAATGGTGCATACGCATATCCAAACCTTTTTATGCCTCTAGGCTCTCCTAATGCTTGTTTGAATGCAAGTCCTAAAGCAATTGCAGTATCTTCTGCTGAATGATGGTCATCAATATGAAAGTCCCCTTTACATTTTAGAGTAAGTGACCAGCCAGAATGTTTCGCGAGGGCATGATACATCTACTCCCATGTAGAAAAAAAAAAAAAAAAATTATACATCGAATATAAATAAACACATAACGATAAATTGTATTATTTAATTAATATTTATACATGATTCAAGAATCCAATGCCAGTATCAATATCAATTGATTGACTTTCAATAGAGTCTAGGTGTAGATAAACATTAATGTCTGTTTCATTTGTTTTTCGAGTTATTGTTGAAGTGCGTGCAGTAGACATTGTGTTGAATCCTTAAAAAAAAAAAAAGGCTTGAAATGAATTTATTATCCATAAATGTTTAAATTATCAAGAAACGTGATACGGATAGCGAATAACGAGGACATAACATTACACATTTGTCGCAGAATTAGGGAAATTCATCGGAATCAAATAAATCGATCAGGGCGGCCTTCAAATTTGCGGGTCATGTGAGTAGCGCCACTGCCGCAGTTGCACATGGGTCACGTCTGTTCACGACTTCTTTGTATTTCGGCTAATTTTTGCAATTGTACTAAAACAGATATAATTTGACACCTTTTTAAATCTTAAATAACTTTTGATCCA